GAATAGAAGGTTTGAACCATATTGCAGCCAAACAGAGTTCCCACTTTCTTCATATTTAAGAGGAATATATTTGTCGTCCTTTACCCAAATGAAACAGTCCTGGTGTGGCACTGTGGGTTAATGCGCTGAACTGCAAAGTCAGTTTGAACCTCAAGGTCAGTGGTTCAAGCTCACCAGGTGCTCCTCAGAAACCCTATACAGGGTCCCTGTATGTTGGAACTGTCTTGAGGGCACTTAACAACAATCAAAATGAAGCTTTGCTCATAGTAAGAACAGGACCCCACAAAGAGTAGAGTTCTAATAAATATTGACGTAATTAATAACCTTTGGATTTGTTATTGTTATGTGCCATGGAGTCAGTTCCGACTCATAATGACCCTGTACAGGGTTTCTGAGGCTGTAAATCTTTACGGGAGCAGAAAGCCTCATCTTTCTGCTGGTTGTGGAACAGCTGGTAGTTTCAAACTGCTGACCCTGAGGTTAGCAGCCCGATTCATAACCACTACACGACCAGAGCTCCTTGAGACCATAGATTAAGTGATCTTAAAACAACACAAATGCATTATCTTGCAGTTCTAGAGGTCAGATTAGAAGCCCTGGTGGCACGGTGGGTAAAGCATGGGGCAGAAAATTACAAGGTCAGTGGTTCAAACCCACCAGCCATTCCAAGGGAGAAAGAAAGATGAAGCAGTCTGCTTTCATAAAGATTGACAGCCTCGGAAACCCTACGGAGCAGTTCTACTGTGTCCTATAGGGTCACTGTCAGTTGTAATGGACTTTATGGCGTAGGTGGTCGAGGTCAGATGGTCAGCAAAAGAGAGGAAGACACCAACGAGATGGATTGACTTGGTGGCTGCAACAGTGAGCTCAAACAGCAACAACTGAGTGGACAGTGCGAGGCCAGGCTATGAGGGTCGCTATGAGTCAGAACCGACTCCACGGCACATAAACAACAACAAGTCTATGGTCGTTTATTACAGTGACAGCAGGAATCTAATATAACAGATTTGTTTTCTGCTTGTTCTCAAGTTTGCATTCTGGGTGTTCTGTGCAGTTTCCTCCCCTTTAGCTTCTGAGTCCTTTAGCTGGACAGTTATTTATCTTTTACTTTGGTACAAGGGCCTTAGCTCTGGTTGTTAGAAACTTTTTAGCTGTAGAAGTCCTGCAGGGTGTAAAAAACAGATGGTCTCAGTCCCTGTGGCCCTGTGGTTAATAAGCAAGAAGTCCGCCCCTCTGGAAGCCCCTGGGTCCACACAGCTCCCGTCGCCGGGTTCCCCCTCCCAAGTTTGATGCAGAAACACCCTCACGTAGTCCACAAAGTCCCACCAGTGGCTGTTGAGTTGACTCAGACTCATGGTGACCCCAGATGCTCCTGGGTTTTCAATGGCTGATTTTTTTTGGAGACAGATCATCAGAACTTTCTCCCAAGGCCCCTCTGGATGGACGCAAACCTCCAACCTTTCAGTTAGCAGCAAGCACATTCACCATGTGCACCACCTTAGGGAGATGTGTACTGTTATGAAGACTTCTAGATGAAGAATCGGAGTCCCTGATAGGGTTAATGCCTGGCTGGAGAGCCCAGCTCTAGCTATTGATCCAGTCCCCACCTCCTAGCGCTCCCTCCGCAACAAACTGCCTCCTCAGAAGGCCCAGCCATTACGAGGGCCCTTTAGGGACACACTTAGATGTCCCATCACCTTTGTGGGGCCTGGGCCCATCCTAACCCCATAGCCCACCACAAGGGACTCCTCTTCACCCCATGCATTCTCCACATTCTGTGTGGCTGCAACAAGTTATTTGCTTGGCCACTTATAGCTACTGAGTGCTCACATAAAGGCTTTCGTGGAAATCCATGGTGTGCCCATTAGCCAGGGAAGCATTTCTTCTAGGGCTGCCTGAAGCTTGGGCAGAAAGGCGCCTCTTAGCTTGTGCCCATGTGCATGGAAGCATGAGTATATGTGCATCTGGACATGTGTGGCTGCGTGTGCATGGTTGTGTACATGTATGTACATGTTTTCGTGCATGTATAAGAGAACACACTTTTTGTTATTAAAGATTCTGTGATCAAGAGGATCCTGGCTGATTTTGACCTGTCACTGACCACCAGCAAAGGCCGTTGAGTCGATTCTGACCCCTGACGACTCCATTTGTCAGAGTCCAACTCTGCTCCACGGGGTGGCTGGTTTTTCAGAATGGATCATCAGGCAGTTCTTCCAAGGTGCCTGTGGGTAAACTTGAACTAACAACCTTTCCGTTAGCAGACAAGTGCCTTAATACATATAAAACAGAGAGAGATCTATCCACCTATCTGGAGTTGTGGTGTGGCGCTGCGGGTTCCTGTGCTGTACTGCAAAGTAGGTTTGAGCCACAAGGTCAGCACTTCAAGTTTACCAATCGCTCTTCGGAAACCCTATACAGGGTCACTATGGGTCAGAACAAACTCGACGGCACTTGACAACAACAATCATCTATCCATCCATCCATCCATCTTATTGGTTCCGATTCTCCATAGAACCCTAAACGATGTCGTATGCCCCATCCAACAACCACCTGCTGTCACCAAGTCAATCCTGACTCATCGCAAGCCCGTGTAGGGCATCTGAGGCTATGCACCTTTACAGGAGCACACAGCTTCATCTTTCTTATGCAGAGTGGCTGGGGGGTTCCACCCACCGACCTTGTGACATGGTGCCCACTGTGTAAGCAGGACTTTCTTAGAGTATGTCAGGAAGGGCCATATGCTACAAAGAAAAACAAAGCCAAGAGGAAACTTGGAGATCCGGGAGTGAGAGGCTGATTTAAGGAGGGGGACAGGGGGCCAACAGGTCTCACCAAGAAGGTGGCCTTTGAGAAAAGACCTGCAGAGGGAGGGAGGGAGGGATGGAGGGTGTCCTTGTCTGCTAGAAAGTCTTCCAAGCAGAGGATGCCCTGAGACATCAGAGCACATGGACACCTCCTCTCCCAGCCATTTTCTGTCTCCAAACTGACAAGCACAAGTGTTGCTCTGTCTGCCCTGGCTCTGCAGCATCTCCCCCTACGACCCAGCGGCCCTCTTTTTAACCTTGAGTGCCTTTCAGGTCTCACATGTCACCCAGTGATGAGTGCGCTGCCATTATTTCAGAAGAACGGCATGGGGGAGGGGTGGCCTTAGGTGGTGTCCGCCTTACCTATTTACTGCCAAAAGTGGTCATGGGGTTATTTTTAAACACAGGGAGGAAGTATTTATTGTTCCTGGGCTGAGGAGAGTCAGACAGTGGGCGGAATTCTTCTTTGGAGCAGTGTGGGGGTCACTCTGGTGCTGTCCACTCCACCATGGTGAGCAGGGAGTGATGCTGGGGCGGGGAAGAAGGGATTGCATGCAAAGGATGGGAGGGAAGGGAGAAGGGCACCTGTCAGAGACCCCCAGGTCCTTGTGAGAAAAACACAGTGAGCTCTGTGTCCAGAGGAACCCCAATCGATGCCCCGATAGACCACAAATAACCACAGCCCCGGGGACTCACAGAAACAAAATAAAGAGAGTTGGCTTTTTTACTGCTTGTCTACTGACCTCTCGTAGAATCAATAATGCCTAGGGCTTGCAAAATGGGATTGAGCGCTTTTAAGGATCAAATTGTAATTCTTTGCTCTTGTTCAAGCAGCTGGGGAAAAGATGCTTTCTGGGGTCACCTTTTGAACTTGCAAATTTAAAATCTTTTTCTCTTTGTGTTGTTCTGGTTGGCTGCCAGTTCCCTTCCCCAACCCAGGCAGACTACCCCAAATCAGAGTCAGTTTAGGAAAACCGTTAAGGGCACGACCTCCAGACTCAGATGCCTTGTTAGGTGTTATCGAGACGGCTCTGACCCATAGTAACCTCATGCACAAAGAACAAAACCCTGCCCTCCCGGGGCCATTCTCATAGTCATTCCTACTTAGAGCCCACTGTTTCAGTCACTGGTCAGTCCATCTCACGAAGCTCTCCCTCTTCTTCACTGACCCTCCACTTCACCAACCAGATGTTTATCTCCAAGGACATGTCTCTTAATGACATGTCCAAAGTATATGGGACGAAGTCTCACCCTCCTAGCTTCTAAGGAGCAGTCTGGCTGTGCTTCTTCCAGAACATTCTTGTTCATTCTTCTGGCAGTCCATGGTATATTCAACATTCTTCGCCAACAACACAGGTTCGACTCCAGTTCTGCTTTTGCAGAGCTGTGTGACTTTGGGCAAGTGACTTACACTCTCTGAGCTTCTGTAGGCTTTTCTTAAAATGAAGGCAGTGATAAGAGCATCTACTTGACAGAAAGGTATGAAGAGTAAATGAAATTATATAAAGTGCTTAGACTACAGCCTTCTATGTTTATACATGTTACATGAGGGGCCTTCAAAAAGATAAGAACTAAAATAGAAGGGAATTTTCCTGTGAACTTTTTGAAGTCTCCTCACATGCTGTTATTGAAAGTCAGTGCTAGAGACATGCCCGCTTACTCCGCTCTCCTGTTCACACAGTGCAAAGATAGAGGAGTCGGCGAGATGTCACTAGGTCAAGCGAATGTTGGGGCTAGGGCAGTTGAGTTTTAAAACCCTGGAAACTTGTCATTTCATCTCCGCATACTTCACGGCCCAATGAGTCTGCCTTTTTCTTTTCCCCGGATCAATTCTCCTTCGGTGCATTACTGGGCTTTTTGTAAAACGCATCAGGATTAACAGCACTGGTTCCTGCCTGGGCTTATCCATAAGTGTGGTCTCCATCCCAGGAGAAACACAACCTCCTCCATCTCCTGGTTTGCAGAGGAGCTACTGCAAAGACCCACAGTCTCCTGAGATCCGCCAATGCCAGGCTGCTGTAGGAAGACATGGTTTTGTGTGCTTTTCTTCCTCCAGTCTCCGTTTGGGGTTTGAGTCAGTCCCCGTATCTCCATTTCACAGATTGGCAGTGGAGGCATGGATGACATCGCCTGACCTAACTGCCTCATTCCTGGCCTTGGCCTCTGTCCACCAATGCATCCTCTTTTCCAGGCACCTAAGAAGGCCAAGAAGAGAGCAGAGGGCGCCAATTCCAATGTGTTCTCCATGTTCGAGCAGACCCAAATCCAAGAATTTAAGGAGGTGGGTGCTGCTATGGACATCTGTCCAGATGGACACATTCACCCCTTAGAGAGAACCTTCCCCTCACTCCACATTCCTTCAGGGACCTACTGATTAGATGTCTTTATCCTCCAAAACCAGTTGCCGTAGAGTTGGTTCCAACTTCTGTGCCACAGTAGAACTATGCTCCATAGGGTTTTCAATGGCTGATTTTTTTTTTCCAGAAGCTGATCACCAGGCCTTTCTTCCTAGGTGCCTCTCAATGAAGTCAGATTATCATTTTTATGCCTAGCAACCAACCACATGAACTAGGATGAAATTATTCCCAGAAACACTACAAATGTCCTGTCCCATCAGCCCCAGAAGAGAGAGCTGCCCATTTCCCCTCATCTCCTCTAACAATGGGCATTAAAAACAATATCACCTTGAGTTTTTCAATGTACAGTCTTTGACCATTGAACACGACTCCTGTTTGAAACCCTCATGGAAATATACTTCGTTGTCCTGGGTGTGGCACTATAGGATAAGCACTGGGCCACAGGTCAGTTTGAACCTCAAGGTTGCTGGATCAAACTCACCAGCCACTCTTTGGAAACCCTACACAGGGCTGCTATGAGTCAAAACTGACTCAACAGCACCCAACAACAACAAGTAAATCTAAATACCAAATTCACCAATGACCACAGGTTAGAAGAATAGATTCTTAATTAATTTTCTAGCACTTGTGATGGCTCAGGCCAAGTCATGCACACTTCCACCTGGCCCTTCAGAAGACAATGTGCTAATGCTAAAGCTAAAGGAGGTCTGGTGGTGTCACGGGTTAAGCAGTGGGTTACAAGGTCAATGATCTGAGGGAGAAAGACGAGGCTGTCTTCAATTATGAAGATTCACAGTCTCCGAAACCCTAAGAAGCAGCTCTACTCTGCCCTACAGGGTGACTATGAGATGGGATCGACTTGATGGCAGTGGTGGTCCCACACTAGAATTCTCTCCACACCGGACAGAGTCCTGCCAGGGCTCCTCACTCTCAGCCATCACCTGTCTGTCAGCAGAAGCTTATGTGTTGCTAGGATACAGAACGGGTTTCAGCAGCGCTTCCAGACTAAGACAGACCATTGGAAAGACCTAACGAGCCGCTTCTGAAAATTAGCGTGAAAACCGTATGGGTCACAACAATGCAACCACATTATACAGCTAGTACAACAGTGCTAGAGAGACTGGGGCATTTTATACCAAAGGGGAAACCATTTAGGACTTCCAAGTGGGACATTTTGTCCCCGCCAACACTGAGCTCACAGCAGTGTCATGTAACAGAGGCCACCAGGGGAAGGAAAATTCCTGGGAAAAACTGTCACATCTGGACTTGAAATAGCCACCTTCCAGAGAGAAAGCCCTTTGTCTTTGCCCTAACCTACCCTCTGGAATGAGATCAGTTGCTGGGGGCAGGAGGTATGGGCTGGGGGTGCAAATTCTTTCAGAAACCACCTGCAGCAAAGATCTCAAAAAATATGGAGATGAGATTGCACTTGTGAAACATTTGGGCATAATAAAGTTTTGGGGAATCTCCTTTGGAGCTTGGTGATCCTGTTTTATAAGTGATTCATGCTAGGGAGTGGGGGTGAGGGGCAGATGAGAGACCCCAGGCTATTTTAATCACAGCCTTTATTGTAGTTGTTAGATGTCCATTTTGACTTGGATCAACCCCTTGTGACTGAACAGAATTGTCCCACAGAGTTTTCTAGACTATAATCTTTATAGGAGTTGATTGCCAGGTATTTCTCCCTTGGAGCTGCTGGGTGGGTTTGAACTGCCAGGATTCCTTAATAGAGCTAGAACTCACGTACTATAAAATTCACACTATTAAAATGTACAATTCAGTGGTTTTAGCACATTCACAAAGTTTTACAACCATACCACCATCTAACTTCAGAATTTCCATCACCCTAACAGTCACACCCTATCCCGCCCCTTTTGTCTTTCAAAAACCAAACCCACTGCAAATTCTGACTCATCACAGCCCTACAGGACAGAGAAGAACTGACCCATAGGGTTTCTAAAGCTACAAGTCTTTACAGAAGTAGACAACCCCATCTTTTCTCCAGTGGAGCAGCTGGTGGGTTCGAACTGCCAACCTCTCAGTTAGCAGAAAAGCGCTTTAGCCATTGTACCACCCAGGCTCCATCCTCCAGTCCTCAGGCAACCACTAATCTATTTTCTGTTTCTGTGGATCCACTCCTTCTGGACATCTCATTGAAATGGACTCATAGATGACCCATTGAGCCTGGCTTCTTTTAATGCACAGCTTTGAAAACCACATGGAATAGTTCGGAAGAGATTCAACAGTAACTAATCATATCTACTACGAGTGGAATTGCTGGGCTACATGGTAACTTGTAAAGCTTAACCTTTCGCGGAACTGGCAGACTTTTCCATCTTTGAGTCCTAATCTAATGTAGCTCTTGACCCAACCTCTTGGGCTCCCCACCTGATTTCTCCCTGGTTGACCAGCCAACTGTCTCCTTTCACAGGCCTTCACCATTATGGACCAGAACAGGGATGGTTTCATTGACAAGAATGACCTGAGGGACACCTTTGCAGCTCTTGGTACGTCACCCTTAAGCTGTGCACAAAGCTTGAACTTGTCACTTTCCAATGTAGCTGCTAGACCAACATTGACCTTTATTTTAGAAAAATCTCAGAATCACTGTCTCCACAATGCTTCTCTTTTTCTGTTAAAATAATAGTTGTGAGGTTTTCAAAGGCAATACCAGCTTGCAACAGAAAACTTGGAAAAATCAAAAAAGTATAAAAAGCCCCATTCTGCCTTTTGCATTTCTTCCTTGAAGTCTTTTCTAGGTTTTTAAATATTTTTTTCAAGGAAACAACTTTTGCATTTTTATTTAACATCTTGAGAGTGGGAACATGGGTGCAGCAGCTTTTTCACAATCTACAAATCCACCCTACAGCTCTCTGCTCCCTAGGCACTCAGGACGACCATAAACAGCTGTGCAGACTGTGCACCACACAACTGCATGGGACACTAACTACATTTGTAGCCACTGTAGAGTTTTATATTTAGAGCATCAAAGTGTCTTCAGATTGGGGGGGAGGGCTTTTCTAATTTGCAAAAAGAGACACAGCAGAGGTCAGAACAGGTGGACCAGAACCCCCAAGGCTGGGGTCATAGCAGGTATCATTTGAAGAAGTTGCCTCTTTTCTAATTGCTTTCTTACACCTCCAACTGAAAAGGGCTCGTTTATACCATGTATGTTTCCCATTTGATTAAAAAACTAAAATAGCTATGAAATGTTCCAAGTTCTGAAGATGCCATCTTTAGAATAGCTAACTCCTTCCCATATCAGACATTGGGTTGGTTTTAATATTCTGGGCATTTATAAATATCACTGTGGAGAACATCGTCCCTAAGTCAGTCTTGGCTCCCAGCCCCCATCTCTGATGACCCCCTGTAGGAGATGCCTGGAAGGGCGAATGGCAGGATCCTATTGGCCATTTCTCTCCCAGCTCAGGATCCATGAGCATGGTTTTCTTGCCTTAGGGCGTGTGAATGTGAAAAATGAAGAAATTGATGAGATGATCAAGGAGGCCCCGGGTCCCATTAACTTTACTGTGTTCCTGACAATGTTTGGGGAGAAACTTAAGGGTAAGTTTATGTATGTCTGTGCCTGCATCTTTGGCATGAACCAGAGCACTAGAAAACCCCACGGGGGCTGGAAGAACGTGGGTATCTTTCAAGGAAGCAAAAGTACTATAGGAAAAAATGAATAACAGCAGCTAACATTGTTTTAGGAGTCCTGGTATGGCACTATAGGATAAGCACCGGACTGCTAACCACAAAGTTGGCAGCTCAAATCTACCAGTTGCTCCTCAGAAATCCTACACAGGGTCACTATGAGTTGGAACCAACTCAATGACACTTAACAACACTGCATTAAGTTTTCCCTATGCCAGACCTTATGCCAAGCACTCTGCATGCCCAAGGGGCTTCAAAAAGTTCATGGAAAAATTCCAGTCTCTCTGAATCCCATTTTTCCACAAACTCTTTGGAGTTTCCTTGTAGTTACCCTATTTAATATCACGTATGAGATTTCGTATATCCTGTTTTAGGAGCAGACCCTGAGGAGACCATCCTCAACGCATTCAAGGTGTTTGACCCTGAAGGCAAAGGAGTCCTCAAGGCTGATTAGTGAGTGGGGTCTGTTGGGGGAGGGGTGAGCACCCTGCTCCACCACCCCCACCTGGTACAAACAGCCCCTCTTCTATCTCTGCAGCATTCAGGAGATGCTGACCACCCAGGCGGAGAGGTTTTCCAAGGAGGAGGTAAGAGGGCCTTTCAGATACTCCCTGCATCCCTACTCCTGAACTCATCTCTTAGGGGACTTCCTCTCCCCCTTTTCTGAAACACTCGTGAACCCAAACTGTGGGGGAGAATCAACTATAGCTTCCTGAGCCCTTATAGCATGCTGTCATCCTCCCTATGATGTAAGTACTGGTATGATTTCAGATGGAAAATCTGAGTCCCCGGGAGGTAAAGCCACTTGCCTTAAAATTGTGACACTCGTGATGAATGTCAGAGCCTACATTTGAACCTGGTAGCACAGTGGGTAAGTGCCGGTCTGCAAATTGGAAGGTCAGTGTTCAAACCCAGCAGCCGTACTGGGGGAGAACTATGTGGCAGTCTGCTTCCATAAAAGTGAAAGCCTTGGGGACCACGTGAGGACACTTCTGCTGTCCTACCAAAGCAAAGCAAAGCAAATCCACTTCCATCAAGTCAGGTGCAACCCACAGCAGCCCTCTATAGGGTTTCTAAGACCATGAATCTTTACAGGAACACCTTTCTCCCTCAGAGCGGCTGGTGGGTTTGAACCAATGACTTTGTGGTTAGCAGCCCAACACCTAACGACAGTACCACAGTGCTCCAGAATCAAATCGATGGCAACAGAATTTTTTTTTTTTTTTTTTTTTAAGATTCAACCTTAGGTCCCTTTCACTGCAAGTACTCCTTTCATCACAATCTTTGGAACTATCAGAGACCTGGTTAGAGCATCAGGTTCTGGCTTGAGGAAGGCCATGATCTGGAACATAGGTTGTGCGCTGCATACCTCTCAGGGAGTCCTTTCTAGTGTACACATCAAAGATTTGAAGTTGTTGCAACAGTTGTCCAGCAGGTGGCAGTAAGGTGTCTTGTCTTTTTTCTTTTCTTTTCACATCTTCTGCTTGGTTGTAGATTGACCAGATGTTTGCTGCGTTCCCCCCTGATGTGACTGGCAACTTGGACTACAAGAATTTGGTGCATATCATCACCCATGGGGAAGAGAAGGACTAAGCGGGATCCAGGTCCTGCCAGCATCTCATACTGCCTGCCACCATCACCAACCCCGCCTCTAATATGTTAGCTGTGTGGTTGCCTCCTTTATCTATCGCCATCATATCAGCATTGGCGATCATCCTGCAGATGGAAATCCATCCAGAGGCCAAGTTCAAATAAACAGGTTGTGTGTTTGCTTCAGACGTTTCTCTGATTGACAGAGCACCTTGAGGAAGGGAGGGTCTGTGCTCATTCCCACAAAGGTGGTGAACGGAGCTGGCCCTGATGTCATTATTATTGAGTCTTGATGACTCTTTATATGTCACAGACCCTGGCAGCCACTCGGGGCTGTTTCTATCAAGGGCCACGTTTTACTAGAATGGAGACAACAGTCCTTCCTCCAGAGTCCAAGCAGGATGAGAGCCTACTTCCAGGACATTGTTTCCTTTGGGAGTGTTTCTCCTGTGACATGCAGATACTGAGCCCATGATAAATGGAGGGAAGGAGGACCCACACACGCTAGGCATAAGGTTCATTTTTCAAAAGTTGTGTTTGTCAATCAGAAGAGATTAATTTCTAATTTCAAATAAAATAGAAGTTGTCTGTACTTCCCTTCTGGCAAACTGAGGGCATTGTTGTTGTTGTTGTTAAGTGCCGTCGAGTCAGTTTAACTGAGGGCATGGTACATGATAATTTCTGACTCAGGTTGGGGGTCTAGGAACTGGACACCTAGGCATGAGTTGACTTGCTTTTTGGATGACCAAAGTCATCTTTAAAGCATTCGGGTGTATTTTGGCTGCAAAAATCCCAATTTAACAAACTAATTACCTCCTGCAGTGTAAGTCTAGGGGCTTCAGGAACAGCTGGATCCAGGAACTCAAACCGTGCCATCAGACCTAAAGAGGCCTCTCTACTTCTCTGCTTTTACTCATGTTGTAAAGCAGCTCTGAGCTCCTGTCTAGTCTCTCAGCAATCCACTCCAGACGCACACAAATCCCAGCACAGGGCCTCACGGATGTCTCTGAGCCCCTAGAACAAACCCTGAACTAGTCACTAGAGCCCGGTAGGGAGGTGCAGCGCTGTAGGCTGGAAGACCTGTTGTTGTCGACGTCGTTGTTCAATGCTGTTTCCGAGGAGTGACTGGTACATTTGAACTGCAGACCTTACGGTTAGCAGTCCAGTGCGTCTCCTACAACTCCATACCAAGACTCTGGGTCACACGATTAACCCTCAAGCCAGGGTTGAAACTGCTCCCCTTAGTCCCGAAAATGGCCTCAGAGTGGGAAGGGCAGTTCTTAAAAAGAAACCCAACTGACATCTCCTGGAGAAGATGGAGTGGGTGTCAGGCACGCAGGCTGCAGTCCAAATCATTTGGATAAAGAGCTGCAGCTGAACCGGGAGGCGCGCTAAGGTCAACCAGAGGGAACGAGAGCAGCAAGCTCCAGGAGGTAGGAGGAGTCAAAGTAGGAGGAGGTCAGTCCATCAATACAGCTGAGGTCAGTCCGTTAATACAGCTACCACCTGGCGGCTGGGAGGAAGGCCCCGTCAAAGCCGGCAATGGGCTGGATGGGTAGGGACCCAGGGGAGTCAGGTCCCCACCCCACAATGACCCATGTCCCTTGGCCTCCAGACACAGTCCAGAAAGGGACCCTACCACCTGGGGCTAGAGCTTTGGTCACTGGTAAACTGCAGTGTGGTTCAGGGCTGCAATCGACACGCACACACTGACACATAAACACACAGATATTCCCACACTTTGGACACCCCACTCTAGTACCTGGGTCAGGGACACCTCCAGCCTCAACCCCTCATGGTTCCACAGACAGATCTAGACTGAAGGGAAGTCCCACCCCCTCCAGGCTCACCTCCATCCCCCAGTTTCTGATTCTAGGAGGGGCTCCCGAGTGATTTAGAGGAAAACCCCACCCACTATAGACAGAAACCAAAATCCCACAGCCATGGAGCCCATCCCGGCTGGACCCTTAGAGGGTTTCTAAGACTGCAAATCTTTACAGGAGCAGACAGCTGCGTCTTCCTCTAGAGGAGCAGGTGGAGGGTTTGAATGGCCGGCTTTGCGAAATGCCTACCTCACAGCTCCTTATAGATCAAAACAGCCCAATGCAATTCTAGTTGTCTGGGGAGAGCGCCGCCTGCTGGAGAGGGAGTGAAGAGGGATGGAAAGCAACTGAGTCCAAAAGAGCAAAGACAGACAGGATGTGAGGGGAGAGAGACAGAGAGGAAGGATGAGGGTACACAGGGATGTGGCTGCTGATGGAGGCAACCACCAGGTCACTGCCCCTTCTGGGGCTCCCAGGCAGTCCTCACTATGAGCTGTCACCCCACCTCGCTGCCCAGTATCTCGGATCCAACATGGCCCCAACACCCCTCTCCCATTGCTTCATTGGGGAGATACAGGTTCTGAGGTGCGGCCAGTACAGGGCCCATTTCACAAGTCTTTGTGACTTAAAAAAAGTATGGACCCCACCCAAGCTTCCAGCACCAAATTTCAAACTGACCCTCCTCCTCCAAGCTGGGCCCCTGATCAGCTCTTAACCCTCCACTTCCGTTCCTAGCGCCCAAGTCTCCTAGGACAGACTGAACAAAGGCCCTGGGGTTACAGAACAAAACATTTACTCTCTCTGGTATGGCACGAATGCAGACCATCCCTTAGCTTTTCCGTTTGGATTCACTATCCAGGCGCACTTGCCGGGACTCCCTTGTTTTGCAGTTTTCCAGCACCAGCTGCCGAAGACTGCCATGATCCAGCGGCTGCTCTGCTGCACCGGAAACAGCAAAGTTGCGCCAGAGGTTTGGAAACCTCACCCCACCCTGGTGCTTCTCTCTAAGAACAGTGCCTCTCGGGGTCCCCCCGCTTCCTGGCTGCCCAGGCCAGGGTGCTCAGGCTTGGTTGAGGGTCCTAAGGGATTAGGAATGGCATAAAATTCACGAGCAGACGGCTCGGAATGTAATCTGTGTCTTTGCAACTTGTCAATTTATAAAATTTTCTTATTTTAAGGTTTATTTCAGAGGGTCACAGAGTCTTTGTGATTTTTTAAATAATAGCTGGAGTATAAGCTTCAAGAACTGTCGCTGGGTCAAGGAGGACTCATTGGGAGGGAGGAACTGAGGTCCACAACTGCAGCAGCCTATCTTGGGCACCTGAGAACGGGGTCCCCAGCCCTGACAGCATACGCTTTCTAGAAGCCTCAACCCAAAGGCCCGTGCAGACCAGGAGGAAACCGGAGCTAACTCACCATAATCCAGTTTCTCATTGAAGAGATCCAACCCGAACACTGGAGGTACGACCTTGATGGCTTCCAAGGGCTTGAGGAGAGCCGAACCGCCCCAGAAAGGGTTGGTGAAGGGTATAGGGGCCTCTGTCTCCACCCCTTCTATCTCCATGAACCGTTTGTAAGCCTCTAACACCAGCAGGTCATTGGTCTTCTTTTCAATGATGGCTGGAGAGACACAAGCAAGACCAAGATGGCTGCCCAGAGACCTGGCTCCAGGGAGGCTCTTGGGAGGAGCGCCACCTGCTGGAGAGGAAGGGATTTTCCCAGACTCAACCCTGTAAGGAGTTGCTCTGGTAGTGAGTGGTTGAGAGTTCAACTGCTAACTGCCAGTGGTTTCAACCCATCAACCCCTACTTGGGATAAGGATGTGGCTGTCCACCTCTAAAGATTATAGTCTTGGAAACACTCTCAAGCAATTTTACTCTGTCCCATGGAGTTGCAATGAGTCAGAATCAACGCAATGGCAGCGGGATCGCCCCTACAAGGACAAGGTTTCCTCTGCATTACTATGAGGCGTGCAGAGGCTCCATATGATAAGCTTTGGACTGCAAACCACAAGGTTGGAGATTCGAGCCCACCAGCTGTTCCATGGGAAAAAGACGAAGCTTTGAACTCCTGTCAAGACTTAAAGCCTCAGAAACATTATACAAGGTGCCTATGAGTTGGAACCAACTCAATGGCACTTAACAAATACAGCAACATTTAATATGGAGCCAACTGTGACTCATGTGTCAGAGAAGACGTGTGCCCCATAGGGTTTTCGGTGGTTGAGACCTTTTGGAAGTAAACAACAGGTATTTCTTCCAAGACTCTTCTGTGTGGATTTGAACCAACCTTTCAGTTACTAATGGCACACTTAACCATCAGCGCTGGACTGCAAACCACAAGGTTGGCAGTTCAAACCCACCAGCTGCTTCTTGGAAACCCTAAACAGGATCACTATGAGTTGGAACTGACTCAAGAGCACTTGACAACAACAACAACAACTTAACCATCTGTAGCATTCAGGGTCTCCACTGCCACTCATTGGGGGCAATTTTGGCGCTTCAGGGGAGGCAAAGATCTGACTCTTCTTTGTGTACAAAGTATAGGTATTCATGTAATGCATACACAGATATGTAATGGATCTGGGGTATTAAGATTTCATGGGAGGGGCAAGTAGAAAAACTGTCTAAAAAGACTCCTGTGGTTGATAAGTTCTATCTAACGGAGTCCTGGTGTGGCGGTGTGGGTTAATGCGCCAGACTGCAAAGCCGTTTGAACTGCAATGTTGGCAGTTCAAGCTCACCAGCTGCTCCTCGGAAACCCTAGACAGGGTCACTATGGTTTAGAACCAACTCAACGGCACTTAACAACAACAATTGGTTTCTGACTCATAACAACCCTGTATAGGGTTTCCAAGGAGTGACTGATGGGTTTGAACTGCCAACGTGGCAGTTAGCAGTTTAGTGCTTATCCTACAGAACTTCACCAGAGCTCCAAAAAGACTCCAGTTGTTGTTGTTAAGTACCATCATCAGTTCCGATTCATAGTGACCCTGTATAGAATGTTCTGAAGCGTGACTGGTGGGTTTGAACCATTGAGCTTGTGGTCAGCAGTCTAGTTCTTATCCTACAGTGCCACACCAGGACCCTAAAAACTTCTGTTGTTGTCAAGTGCTGCTGAGTCACTTCTGACTCATAGCGACCCTTTAGAGGGTTTCTGAGGAGAAGCTGGTGGGTTTGAACCAGTCTTGCCATTCAAAGCAAATTTGCTGTCCCAGTGCATCCCCTACAGCACCATATCAGGACTCCTAGAAGGGGAGAAATAGAATGAAATCATTAAAATTTACATTTGAACCCATAACTGGCTGGTTTCAGTGCCCACATACCTCACCACCAGGCTCATGCTTGGTCATAGAACACTCTGGAAATGGTACCCAAGAGCCTCACGACCCGTCATGACTCACCAAAATACTGCGGGAGATTACTGTCTGTGATCTTTCCTGTCTCTCCGAGCTGCACCAGGATCTTGCTAGTATCACAGTTGATCTTCTTGAAGAGATTCTCCACCGATTTCTTGAGGTAGTCCAAGGTCATGCTGATCTCCTTGTATTTTTTCTCATATACATCTGCCTCCTCCGTAATCTGCTTCAGTTTCTCCTGGTGGCAAATCCCAGTCCCCCAACCCCCTCACAGTCAGCTGGACTAACGCCCTGGGCACAACCCACCATGAGGCCTGGCAAAGTGGAAAGGGGGCATTGGGACCCTCTTAGGCCAGGGTCTCAGTCCAAACTGCAGGGTTTCAACCCTCTGAGGGGATGAGAGACCAAATGAACACTTGTAACAAATGAGACAAAAAGAAATTTCGTGTTGAGGAAACAGACTCCATGGCACATCGCCAAAAGAGGAAAGCCAAGACTTGAACTTGGTTTTGTAACCATCACACCTCCAGCTACTGGAATGTTCAGTTTCCAGGACTAATATACTTCCTCATTTGATAACCAGAGCTGCTCTCCTGTTTTAATGATATATAAAAAAGTCACATGGTTTAAAAAGAAAAAAAAAATCATATTTTTCATAACGATCACAACGTCAGCATGATGTGACCAAAATAACATCCAATCTTATGTGTTGAAAGGAACCCTGGAGCACAACGTGTGAGTTACTGGACTGCTAATTGCAAGGTCTGTGGTTCAAACCCACCAGCCACCCTGAGGGGAAAAGATGAGGCTATGAGCTCCTGTAGAGATTTCGTCTCTGAAACCCTAAGGAGCACTTCTATTCTGTCCCACAGGGTCACTGTGAGGAAGAATCGATTCTTAACAGCCAATAAAACATCCAGACAGCTCACTGATATTCAGATAAAGCCCACCCTTCTAGATAATTTGCTTTTGAAAAGAACCTCCACCTACCCACTCGAAGTCAAACTGAAGCCAAGGGAGAAAGGACAGCTGATGAGATGGACCTCAAGAGGACGTGGAGAAGATGCTTGACGTTTGCCAGGTCAGCCTCCCCATGTTGTTAAGTGCCATCGAGTCAGGTTTTGACTGATAGCAACTGTTTCCAAGGAGCAGTTGGTGGGTTTGAATCGCCGACCTTGCGGTCCAGTGATTATCCTACAGCACTACACCACCACACCAGGACTCCTTGCTCTCCCTGCTCCCCTTTATGCCTTCAAACCCTTGAGAATCACAATAGGACAAAGCACAACCCCAAGGAGGAGTGTAGACTCATGTGAACTCTTGTGATGACCTGGGACCTCAGACACAGGCCCAAGTTGGGAAGAGATCCTTGGACGTGGGTCAAGAAATTACCTGTACTTTGCTGCCCTCTAGTGGCCCTCCAGAGAATGACAACACCATCTCCATCCACCAGGCACTATGGTGTTTGCCAAGCAGAAGAAAACAAACCACAGAGAGCAGCAGGGGCCCCAGGAGCACAATTCCTAGGCCAGGAGCTATTAAATTAGAGCAAGGCTTTGCAGTCTGACTCTCTGGGCTCATATCTTTGGTAGACAGTGCTACACAATGTCCATTCTGTCCTTACATTCCTACCAAATAACAAAACTATTGTATTTTAGGAGCCCAGGGTTAAACATTGGGCTGCTAACTGCAATGTAGGCAGTTCAAACCCACCAGCTGTTCAGAGGGAGAAAAAGGAGGCTGTCTGCTCCCGTAAAGATTTACTTTCAGAAGCAGTTCTATTCGGCCCTACGGGGAACTGACTCATTGACGATGCTTTTTAAGCTGCTGAATACAATTCAAAGTTCCACCATTATCCCAGCTCCATGATGTTGTTCAAGTGCCTATACCTCTTGAGCCTCAGTTTCTTCATCTGTAAAATGGAGAGATTGACAGCACCTACCACACAGAGTTGTTGGGAGGATTAAATGAGATAGTGCAAGAAAAGCATTTAGCCCAGTGCCTGGTATGTAGTAAAAGCTCAAGAACTGTTTACAGCAACTATTATTAACAGAAAACAGGGCACAGCCAGGACAAGGTGGAGCGAGAAGAAAAGGCTATAGCAGAAGGACTCAAAGAAGCCAGCTCATTGGCCTGGGCTAAGTAAGAGGGGAGAGGATTTTAAATGGACAGAGAGACCCTAGGGACAAAATTCTGCATCAAGGCCTATACCAGAGACTGCCTGTGACAGAGAGCTTAGGACATGTTCAGGCACAGCCAGATCAGTGGCAGGTAGGTAATCTGACTGCCCCAAGAATGGACTTACAGACTGCTTATGTGACAGACAGACAATGGAGATGCCCGTGTCCCTCCCTTCCTGCCCTGTTCTTACCTCTAGTTGTCTCAGGGCAGAACGGCTGTCATCATTGGAAGATTTCTGTTGGGATTGCAAGAGGCCGATCTCATTCTGCTCAACAGAGAAGCAAACCATGAGGAAAAGTGGGCACTCCCGTCTCCCGCTACATCCTCAAAATAAGCCTGGGGTTCCAGGAGGCGTTGGGAATTTAAATCACTTATTTCTGGGGTCCCCAGAATCCTTGGGCCCCAGTTATGCCTGTGGAGGTCCTTCATGGTGTTTCTTCATTGAGAAACATAGGTAAATCGGTGGTTCATCTTTCTGGGAGAAGTTTCTAGCAGATTGCAATCAATAGCATTTTGTCTGACAGTAGGAATGTTCTCAGTGCTGTTTCTGACAGCCACTAGCCACATTCATGTGTATGTATGTATGTATGTATGTGTGTGTAGCACTTAAACTGCTGCTCACCAAAAGATCCGTGGTGACCTACTGCCAAATTGGCAGCATCAATGAATGGGCTCAAGCATGGCAACAACTGTGAGGCTGGCCCAGGACCAGGCAGTGTTGTGTTCTGTTGTGCAGAGGGCTGCTATGAATTGGTACTGACTTGATAGCACGTAACAACAAGAGCAACTTCCAAATAGTCAGTTACTAAAATCTCCACAAAATGCAGTTGTACCCTGACACCCAAGGGGCTGCTAGAAGTCAGAATCAATTCCACAGCAACTGGCAAGATATTTGTGATTAATTTAAACTGAAACAGTCACATGTGGCTAGTGAGTTCTGTCTTGAACGGTTGGTTCTGCAGTAGTTGGTTCTGAATTGCAAAGTCCTGCGATTCAGATTCAGTGAAACCAGAGCATGTGACTTAACTCCCCGAGTTTCTGATTCATTAGGACTAAGATAAGGTCAAGAATTTGCATTTTTAACAAGTTCCCAGGGGATTCTAACAGGTGAACAACTTTGAGAATCGCTGGACTAGAGCAACTTGTTCTAATATAAAAGGCACATGCTTCTTGACACTTCCCTCTCTAGGAGTCCATTCTGTGGAAATAGTAGTCCAGGCAGATAAAGATGGATGCTCAAGTGGCCACTGTGTTGTTATTTATAATGGCCCCCAGTTAGGAGACCCTAAATGTCTACCAGTAGGCAGCAGTTACATCAATGTTGGTACATTTACATAATTGGGGGAAGAGATCTCAAATAAAAATATGGTTAAAATGAAGAGCCAGAGAATCTGGATTTATACATATGAGAAAGGTGGCACATTAGCTAAGTGGTTGGAAGCTAACCAAAAGGTCAGCTGTTCAAACCCAACCCAACAGTCCCAAGGAAGAAAGATCTGACCATTTGCTTCAGTAAAGATTAAAGAAAAAACTATACTCACTGCCAACGAACCAATTCCAGCTTATAATGACTGGCCCTATAGACAGAGTCAAGTCCTGGTGTGGCGCTGTGGGTTAATGTGCTGGACCACAAGTTCGGCAGTTCAAACTCACCAGCCACTCCTCAGAAACCCTATACAGGGTCTCTGTGAGTCAGAACTAACTAGATGGCATTTAACAACAACAACAATGACCAAATAGAACTGCGCCTTAGGGTTTCCAAGACAGATAAGCTTTATGGGAACAGACAGCCTCACTTTTCTCCCAAAGGAACAGCTGGTGAGTTTGAACTGCCAACCTTATGGTAAACAACCCAACACTTAACTCACTACACCAGCAGGGCTCCCCGTAAAGATTTTTGTTGTCAAATGCCAAAGAGTCAGTTCTGACTCATAGGGCCCCTGTGTAGGGTTACCAAGGAGTAGCTGGTGGGGTTAAACTGCCAATCTTGTGGTTAGCAACCCAGCGCTGATGCAACAACCAGAATTATAAAGATTACAGCTTTGAACATCTGAGGGGGAATTTGACTCTGTGACATAAGTCACTATGAGTGGATGTCAGCTCAATGGCACCTAACAACAACAAGGTGTTGGACAGGGCCTGGGAAGTACGTATTTTTAAGAAGCATGCCATGGTTCTAATGCAAAGGCTCCAAGATCTCCAGAAGCCGCCACAGAAAAATCTAGAAGCTGTTGGCAGACATCAATGTTATATTGTTGGAAAGAAATATTTCTAAAACAGCATGAACTAACGGGTATAAAGCCACTAGAGTAAGCGGACATGGCGGGGGACTCTGTGCGGGTCTGCACGTGCTGTGTACACGCTGCTTCATGAAACGATGGCGTTAATTGTCTGTGAGTGGTGATATTAACTTGATTTTTAGTTTTTCTTTACATTTGTTCTGAACGGCAGATGTCTCTCTCATTTGTTGTTGCTGTTCTTAGATGCCATTGAGTTGGTTCTGGCCCATAGCAACCCGACGCACAACAGAACAAAACACCACCTGGTACTATGCCAACCTCACATTCCTTGTTACACTTGAGCCCACTGTTGCTGCCACTCTATCAATCCATCTCATTTGGGGTCTTCCTTGTTTTCACTGACTCTCCACTTTACCAAGAAGAATATCCTTCTCCAGGGACTGGTCCCTCCTGATAATATGTCCAAAGTCTCACCATCCTGGCTTCTAAGGAGCATTCTGGCTGTACTTCTTCCAACACAGATTTGTTTATTCTTCTGTCAAGTCCATGGTGCCTTCAGTATTCTTCTCCAACACCAAAACTCAAATGCATCAACTTCTATGGTCTTCCTTAGTCACTGTCCAACCTTCATATGCATATGAGGTTTTTAAAAAGACCATGACTTGGATCAGGCGAATCTTAGTCCTCAAACTGGTATCTTTGCTCTTGAACCCTTTAAAGAGGTCTTATGCAGCAGATTTGCCTAATGCAATATGTCATTTGATTTCTTGACAGCTGCTTCCGTGAGTGTTGATAGTGGATCTAAGCAAAAGGAAGTCTTTGACAACTTCAATTTTTTCTCCATTTATCTTGATGTTATTTATTGGTCCAGTGGTGAGGATTTTTGTTTTGTTTATATTGAGGCACAACCCATACCAAAGGCTGTGGTCTCTAATCTTCACGGGACTATGTGTTATTTTACTAATCAGAAAATTTAGATATTTCTTATTCTGGAAAAAAAATAACGATATGGGCTTTTCAATCTTTGTTGTTTTTGTTGTTAAGTGCCATTGAGTAAGTTCAGAATCATAAGGTGGGGGGGAGGGCTGAAGGGAGTGGAAAGACATGAAGTAATGCTACCAAACAAAGTAACCAATACTAGGTGGTTGCTTAAGGGTCTGTGGCTAACCAAAAAGTGATCAGGTTGAAGCCACCAGCTGCTCCAAGACATAAAGATGAGGCAGTCTGGTTCTATAAAGATTTGTGGCATTGGTGGTTGTGTGCCACTGAATTGGTTCTGACTCATAACAAGCCTGTATAGGGTTTCTTGACTATAAATCTTAACAGAAGCAGAAACACCCATCTTTCTTCCATGGATCAGTTGGTGGGTTTGAACTGTAGACCTGCAGTTAGCAGTCCAGGGCTTACCCTAATACACCACAACCCTCTGGGGCAGTTCTACTCTATCCTACAGGGTCACTAAGAGTAGGAATCTACTAATTGGTAAGGGGTCACCTGGACAGGTGACAAGATTCTTCCATATCTGGGGTGTCCTCACAATCCCCTGATATAACTTGTCCTCACCTTGTCACCCGGACTAGTAAAAGTGCTCCCTCCTGGAAATTGAAAGTCCAGGGTCCTGCCTACTCCCTCCAGTGACCATCCTTTCAGATAACCCTGCCTGCAAAGACCTCCTTGCAACATTCAACTGGCCACTAGAGGGTAGTGTTGTTGCACCTAACTAGGGGTGGCAAACTCAAAGGCCCACTTTGATGTTGTTCAATGCTGTGGAATCAGTACCAACTCACAGCGATCCTGTATAGGGTTTCCAAGAAGGGGCTGGTGGGTTTGAACTACTAGTGTTACAGTTAGCAGTTCAGTGTTTATCCTACAGAACCAGGGCTCCCAAAGGCCCACTGGGCTCTGCCAAAAAGGAAGAAGCAGTAATTAACTCTCAGACGAGGTGACATTTGTTCTGGTCAGAACAAATGCTGGCTATTTCACCAGAAGAAAAGGGGGAAAGGAACAACACATGCAAAGTCTGGAGGAGGAAAAGCTAAGGCAAAGCTAGGATGGGCAGCTTCCAAAGTATCTTGGGGATCATGAAGGGAGAGGCAAATTGGAGCCATATTTAGAAGGATCTGAGTGTCACCCTAAAATGTCGCTGTTCAGACAGTTCAGAGGATGTTTACTTATGTTCTGAGGAATGAGTGGTCTGGGGAGCCAATTCATCTGGGAAATAAGGGTTCCACAAAGGTAAACAGATCTTTTTAATGCAGGACTTGTCAGGGCCAGTAATACGCTTGTTTACAAGTTTCTCCAAGATGAAACTTGACCATCTCCCCTCAATTGTAAGCAGCTGTTGCTTAACAGGGGCCAGCAAACTTGCAACGCAAAAAAAAAAAAAAAAAGGTGAGATGGTCAATATTTCAAGCTTTGTGGGCTACATATAGTCTCTCCTGCATACTTTGTAGGTGATTTTTCCTTACAATTGATGCAAAATGTGAAAAACAATCTTAACTCATGGGCCATTCACAAACAGGCAGCAGGCCACATTTGGCCCTTGTGTTGTAGTTTACCAGCCCCTGGATTGTAAAACATAATGTTATGGATTGTGGCACACCTGAAAATGTGTTGTAAATCCTAACCCTTACACTTATGGTAAGAGTCCTGTAGGACAAGCACTGAACCACAAGGTTGGTTTGAACAGAAAGGTCAACAGTGAAATTCACTAGCCAATCCTCAGAAACCCTGTACTGGGTCGTTATGAAGAAGAACCCACTCTCCGGAACTTAACAACAACATATGTGCGGTTATCACCTCATTTGATGACGGGTTTTCTTAGTTAGTTAGTTATTACTTTATTAGTGTAGAGTGTGTCTTAAGTCAAACTCTTTTGAGATATTGTTGTTGTTGTTAAGTGCCTTGGAGTCACTTCCAACTCATAGCAACACTGTATAGGGTTTCCAAAGAGCAGCTGGTGGGTTTCAACCACCTGCGTTGCATTTAGAAGTTTATTGTTTATCCTACAGCACCACACCAGAAT